TTTTCTCCAGTCATTCCTTAAATCATCCTTTACTGTTGCAAATTTAGCTGATATTAAATGCCTTTGGTTTATGGATTAGATGGATTCTCTCTGTTCTCCTGGTTTAAAGCATTGTGCCATTTTAGTGGCTCATTTAAATTTCCTCTATTCTCATAATGATGGTAGAGCTCTAGAATCAGTTCAGCATTTTAATTTTTCACAGGTAACTTGATTTTAGTCTACAAAGGAATTCAACTTTTCTGTGTTCCCTAACTCTAAGCTTATGGGTGTATTACCTGGTCAGACCTTGAAAGGTTTTTGTGTTCTCTGTTCGTACGATTTTGTTCCTTTAAACCAGAGTTTCTCAGTCTTGGCACTGTTAACATTTTGGGTTGGATGATATTGTCCTGTGTATTACAGGATGTTTAGCACCGTCTCTGGCTTCACTAGATGCCAGTAGAACCCCCTGCCTAGTTGTGACAACCAGAAATGTCTTCAGACATTACCATCTGTCCCCTCTGGCAGAGGGGTAGGAACAAATCCGCCCCTGGTTAAGAACCAGTGCTTTATATTCCTTTACCTTCACTGTAGCATGAGGTTGTTGTTTTTGTTTTTGTAAAACCATAAAATAAGTGCAATAAAAAAAGGGTGTGTTTAAAAAAAAATCACTGAACTTTTAGAAATCCCACATCTAAATCTCCATTCCTGCCTTTTTATAAAGTAGTGAGTACAAAGGAAGAAGACTGAAAGAAAAAGTGAGACTGAGTCTTACTTTTTTCTAAACGAAGAACGAAGGACAAACATTCCTTTTGTCCAGGGTGCATTTATTTTCATTCTGTAGTCCTATATGCCACCTGAGTTGTTGTATGAGAGAAGGTGATGTATTTAATAATCATGGATGGAAGGAAAATGGTCCTTGGTGTTTTGCTTTTTTGTAATGGTCATTTTAATAATTTTTCATATAACATTAGAAACTCAGGGCTAGAAGGTTCAACTTACATTTTTCAGCAGGGTCTCAACTTTTATTTCTTAGCATTCTTGCTTATCTTAGGACAGTGATTATTAACCTACCTCTGTCTTACTATAACAGAATTCAACTTTATGATAGATTTTTCTTTATCTCTAATGTTGAACTTTTTGAGTGTGCTTTTAGAAAATGGACCATTCTTTAAGTGTTCATTCTTTAAGTGTTCATTCATTGTCCACTAATGCATAGGATTTTCCAGACTGTAGCAGTCATTAAATACAGAAAAAGTGTATAAAATTTGGCAAAATTTGGTAATCATATATGAAAGTTAGCTGGTGTAGACACCAATTTTGAATGTGATCAGAGGAATGTCTGATCATGATAATTGGTCACTAACTTGGTACGGTTATAAGATACTTAAATGTGGTTCTTGTGAGGAAAAAGAAATTTTGGCTTGAATAGATGCTTCTTCTTATACCTTTTACCAGTGGTCTGAAGTAGAGTAACGAGGAATAAGAAATTAATTGTAACTGTTGACTTATTCTCAGAATTGGTGATGTGTAAGTGGAATTGAAGATCATCATCTCTCTGACCCAGAACCTTCCACCTGGGTTTTTCTTAGGACTAAATGGGAAAAGTGTAGGGTCTAGAAAGATTGGATTTAATCATTAACTTTTAAAAATTGGTGTGTGTGTGGGGGGGTGTCAAAATATTGATCATATGAGTAGTTAGTGTCTCTCTAACTGCAGTCTGTCAGTTTGTGAAGACCTTACATTGTAAGTATTGGTAAAGGGAAAAAACTAACTGCTGAACTGAAAGTTATCCTTTAACTGAAATTAATTCCTTTGGCACACATTTTCTTTATTTAGGCTGCTTAATGTGTCTGTGAATAATTAAATATAAAACAAGATTCAGTGTAGTGGAGTTGGAGCTTCTGACACAGCTAACTTGACCATATTCCTTTACCTTCACTGTAGCATGAGGTTGTTGTTTTTTTGTAAAACCATAAAATAGGTGCAATAAAAAAAGGGTGTGTTTAAAAAAACATCACTGAACTTTTAGAAATCCCACATCTAAATCTCCATTCCTGCCTTTTTATAAAGTAGTGAGTACAAAGGAAGAAGACTGAAAGAAAAAATGAGACTGAGTCTTACTTTTTTCTAAACGAAGAAAAATTTTCTCTTGACACTTAGAGAAGTCGTAACTGGATTCTAGTTAATTTCCCATATTGGGCTAAAGTGGAGGGGAACCAGCCAACCAAATTGTGCTCCAGCAAATTTAACAAGGGGGTGGGGGAGAGTAAACTATTTTGCAGTAGATTTGCACTTTAAAATTATGAACTGGATGTTGGTGGAAAGTACTCCCAAAGGGCAGGTAGGTAAGTACCTAGCCTGCATGTGGATATTAGAGAACCCAACTTCATTCTTGCTCGTTGTAAGCGCTCCTGCGCAGTAGTTGTCTGTTGACATAATCAGAGTCAGGATTTCCCTGTTTCCCTCGTTGGTGTCACCTTCCACGTCTGCTACATTGACAGTCATCCCTCTGGGGAATATGTCAAGTAGAATTCTCTTATTCAGAAAAGGAACTTTGTGAGTTATCTTTCCCACATCTAGATTTGAAAAATTAATTTAGATGTTGGTTAAATTAAGTTGTGGCTCATGTTACAAGGGTGGGAAGTTCTTTGCTTCTTTGCTCTGCGGGGTACCTGCCTCTGAGGTGCTGTTCCCTGGAGGGATCAATCCCGTCCACAGACTGGTGAGTTGGTAGCTGTAGAGAATATGCATATATAGCTAGCTGCTTCTCCCAGGGTGTCATCATGACAACGAGCGTCATCCCAGAATCTTTGGCCTCTAGAACCAACTCCATTCTGAAGAACATTTTAACATCTATTAATACTTTGGTAATAATCTTTTATATGCAGGAATTTTGTAGCATGACTTTATGACTAAACTTATTGTGTTAAATTATTTAGAAATGTTGAGTTTCTGAATGTTATTTTGTGAGACATGTTTTAAAATAGTAATAAATTGTGTTATTTTATAAAAAAATGTATCTTTTTTGGTTATATGACCATTAGTTTTAGCTAGTACAGAGCAACCACATGAACTTCCAATGACGTTCAATTCTGAAGAAATTTGGTCTTTGGATCAAATGTTCCACACAGCTTGTGTGCATGTGTATGAAAGAGAGGGGGAGAGAGATTGACTCATTTCTTTATATTTTTTGTTTTTTGTTTTTCCTGTAGTTCACCACCAATGACAATCTCCTCTCCCAGGTTTGTAAGTCTTCACCGTAAGTTCTCTGGGCACCATTTCAATGATTAGTATCCTGGAAAGAGTGCTTCCCAGGACAGCAAGTTACTACTGCACCTGACCATTCCTAGTCCTCTCCTCACTAGTAGTATACAAGGTTAAGATTGGTTGATAGGCCCCTGACGTGTGGTCTGGAATAACCTGACATTGGCCAGCCCCTTTGTGATGCACAAGCAACAGGGAAGAGCCCAGTTATAGCCGCAACATTACACATGGTCTTAGCACATATTCTGTGCTATCGGCTGAATATAAGTTTGGTCTCAGAATGGTACTGTAGTGCAGTTTCTACTTCTTTATTCCACAGTTTTTTGGTTATAAGGATGTTTTTTTCTGCTGTCCTCCTTTAAAAAGCAGATTTTAATTTCTGAGCCTATAAAGAGAAAACCTTAATTCAGGTTAGAAACAGCTCATTATTTTTAGTTCATTACTTTCTAGAATAAAGGGTGGCTGTCTAGAATCCTGACATGTATACCATATATATGTATTATATAAATATATATGTATGTATATGTAGATATATAATTATTATATATAATAAAAGAATCCCAAGTGATAACCCTCCTTTCTAAAATGCAGTCAACTCTGCAGCTATAAAAAGGTGTATCCCTATGTAGACATAGAAGGATGCCTATAACATTGGGTGAAAAAAATGAAGACCGCAATCACTTTTATTATGAATGTAGTATGTATGGGTGAGAATGTGTGTATATGTGGTGGCCAGCTGGTGTGAGCAGCAGTGGGAGCACGTGTGCACGCGTGTGTGGAGAGACAGGAATGTATGGTTGGGGTGGGAGACTGCTGCACTGTATGCATGGGGTGGGGTACGATGGAGTGCTGGTGGGGAGAGGTGGGAGTGAGTGTGTGTGTATGGGTAAGATTCTCAGAAGTGAGGGGGCTGCGTGTACCCAGTGCCATGCCGCCATGCTGATGGGAATGGAGGGGGAGGCTCTGTGAATTGGGGCGTGGAGGAATGAGGGGACATGTTTGGTGGGGGAAGTGAAGACTTGCATATCTGTTTTAGGGGTCAAATATGTGGAGATGTGTGTTGGGAGAAGACTGTGAGGGTGGAACAGACCTGACATGGAAGATGAAGTACATAAGTGAGTGTACAGAAAAATCTTTTAGACTGTATACCAGTATTAGCCTTGGTAATTTTTTTGCCTTAAGATTGTTAAATAGGTTGGCTATAATTTTAAAGCCTTGTTACTAGGGGAAAACCCCACTGAACTCTTATGTTCATGTAACCACTTCTGGATTTATTGGGATCTCAAGACAAACATCTTCAGTCCCTGATTCTCTGCAAACATGTTTTTAAACTCTTTCCCTGTTTATATCCTCTGGATATAAAATGGCTGCTATAGATCTGAAACATTCATTTTAAACAGGTATGAGGAATTATTTCTGTAGCAAAACAAAGATTTTTAGCTGAAAAGGGACTTAAAAGGGGAGAAAAAGCATTGCTAGATAACATCCTGAGCCCCATTTCAGTATTTCCTAACATTTTATAGTAAGTTAATATTTACTTACATCTATTTAGCCTTCTAACATTTGCCTTGTAGAAAACATGCAAAAATGGAATACATTGAAAGGTTCTGCAATTTATACTTACACAGTATGCTATAAAGCTTAAAGTAATTGAAGTTTGATTTTTTTAGTGACATGGGGAAGTCTTCCTAAGAAAAGAGAATACAGAGCTTAATTACACTGAAATTTTGTATATGTGTCAGAAAAACAGGACAACAGAATTTTAAAATTCTTTTATTCATGTACATGTATTTTGATAACTTCAAATTTAGAACACTTAGAATCAGCATGAACAAGAACTACTATTCAATGACAAAGATTTGAAATGGGGGAATAGATACTGTAACTGGTTCTTATTAGCCTCCCCATGCAATTTATTTCTGTATCTTGTACAGAGAAAAATTGATTTACATAATTCTAGAATTGCGGTATTTTTCTAACACCCCATTCCAGTCTCAGAATACTTTTCAATTAAACTGATCCAGATGTTTCAAGATGAAAAATAAGAAATTTGTAAGGTTGAATAAATAGTATCTAATTAAGTCACATTTCTTTCCATTAATACAAATGAGGAGCAATTTACTGTGAACACAAAAACTATTCATGATATTAGTAAGGACAGCTCATATATTTCCTGAACACTTCCTGTGTTGCCAGGCCCTGCCCTGAGCATCTGAACATGCAGTTTCCCACCTGCTCCCCTCCGTGGGAAGTGTCATGGATTCACAGGTTCACAACTGATGACCGCCACGACAGCTTGCACTGAGCACCTGTGTGCAGGTCTTTACTTGGCACTGTGGCTAGGACGACTCACTTGTAGCAGCTCAGGGGGCTCACTGGCACCACTGTACTAATGTTACATGAATACCCAGGCCTGACTCCCCCCACCCCCCAAAACAACAGAACATGGTGAAGTCTTTACAACTAAGACACACACCTGTAAGACAGCACGGAGACAAGGAAAGCAGCTGGGATCTACATCTGCACTACAGCCCAACTCCAGGGCCTCAGAAGTGCCCCTCCAGGCCTAACTGCAGGAGGGCGGCCTCAGCCTCCTCCTCCTCCTCCTTGGCCTCCTCCTCGCGGATCTGCACCAGCAGCTGGAAGAGGTTAGGGGCAGGCCCTTCCGCAGCTCCTGTCAGCCACAGCTGCCTTCGGATGGCCCCGCTGTGGTTGGCCCCGGCAATGACCTGCTCCAGGCGGGCCTGGTTCACGTTATCTTTATCTATGGCCCCCTTCTCCACCACCTTCTGCAGAAGAGGCTCCAGACGAATGACATATGCAGATAACTTTTCTCCTGGGTTCTGGTAAGTGTTCAGAAACCTGACCTGCGCATCCCTAGAGCTCTCGACGCTCCCAAACACCTGCTCAAGCGCCTTCAGGCATTCAGCAGTGGTTATCGAAGGGTTGTTAGTCTTGAGGATGCGGATGACATCAGCGGCAGGGCCTCTAAGACTCTCCATCAACCGCCGCCTCTTTTCTACATCAGACACCTGCCACTCCTCTATGACCTCATTGGTGTGTTCCAGCCAGGGATCAAAGGTCTCCTCCCCAGGCCCCGGGATGTCCCTCCCGGAGAACAGCGTCAGCTTCTTGTACCATATGGACTCAACAAGAGGCTGAATAACGTTATCCAAAATATAGTTTAGCATCTCTGCTGGCATATCTGGGCCTGGGGCCGGAGCGGGGTTCTGAAACCCAAGGACGCGGGCAACATCTTGCACGGTCCACCCCTCTCTCGCTAGGAAGAGGTGCAACCTTTCTAAAAATTCAGCATCGGAAGTCGGGGGTTTAAAGACCACTTTCCAGACCCCTCCTTTACCGGGCATCTCCCTGGGGATCGCGGCGTAATCGACAGCGCCAGTGAGCTCTAACAAGGCTGCTTTCGCATTCTCTTCCCTCCAAAACATTCTCCCAAGCACTCGATAGGGCACCTGGGGCATCGCAGCCTGGAGGGTCTCTTCGATTTCAGCCTCATCACAGTTCACTGGGATCCCCCAGACCAGCAGGGCTCGCTGGGAGTTCACATCCATCCCCCTGCACCAGTCTTCCAACAGTGTCATCGCCATTTTTCCAACTACCAAGGATCCCAATTCTACAAATACAGATTAGACTGTGGCTCCCTGTGCTCTAGGACTTAGGGACAGCAGCAGACACTCCCCCCAATATGCCCGAGGGAGGTAAGCTTCACGCAATCACAATTAACAAATGACACCAGAGTCCTGCTCTTGTCCTTTCGCTGCCCCCGCCCAAAGTCAGTCAGTCCGTCGGCTCGTTCTCGCAGCGAAGCCTCTGGGAGGCTCAGTCAGTCAGTCACGCGTCCGCCGCCACCCTGCGTCTCCGGTCGGGTCCCCCACCTGCAGGCAGGGTGTCGCGTCGCAGCGCAGAAGGCGAGGAGCGAGGGCGGGTGGCGAAGGCTGGAGCGCGGGGCTGGAGAGGCGCCGGGGTGTGATCGCGGGGCGTGGCCGCCTTCTCCCTGCAGCCGGGGCGCGGGGAACTCGGGGCTCCTCCCGGAGACGTTCGGCGTTCGCGGTCGGAGCCCGGCCTTCAGTCGGGCGAGGAGCGGCTGCTTTGCAGACGAGGGCTGTGTCGTCCCCGAAGGAAGAGACAGTTCTGAGGTCTCAGCGGCGGTGGCGAGGCCAGCCCGCAGGCGGTTTCTTTGCAGACGCAGTGAAGGCTCCAGGCGGCGAGGGCGGCTGAGGACCGCGGACACAGGCCGGGCAGCGGAGGCGCCAGAAGGACGGGGAAGCGAGGCTACAGGCGGCGGAGGCAGCGGCGGGCAGGGGCGGCCGTGCGGCGGCTGCAGCGGCCTGCGGCGGCGTGGCGCAGCTCAGTTGCCGGGTCGTCCGACCCGCAGCCAGCGGAGGCGTTCCTGCCGCAGTGAGGGGCGGGGCCGGCTCCGGGAGCGGCGTCCACCGCGGCCCGCCCCCGCGGCTGAGCGTAGCCATGGCAACGGTGGCCTTGACGACGCAAGTTCCGCGCGCTCCCGTGGTTCGCGGGGTCGAGCGGTTGCCATGGTGCTAGCGAGGCGCTCCGGGCACTGCTTACTCTGATGGCGCATTTCCTTTTTCACATTTTCCAGATTTTTTTTTTTTTTTTTTTTAAACAAAGGACCGTGTTTAAAAGATAATGTAATTCTGGAGTGGAGTTAAGGTGATGTTGTTGAAATGCGTCCATCAGGCAGACTGGTCTACCGCTGCGTAGGAAAATACCGTCGTGAGCACTGCGGCTTCCTCTGCGGCACCTGATTGCATTCTGCACCCTCCATACTTCACCTCAACGAAACTAACACGTGGGAAGTGTGCCGTGTCCGTGTTTTTGTGTGAGACACTGAGTTGAGGCTTTTTCTTGTCTAAAATTTTGTAAAAATATCTCTATCTTTTCAGTAATCTTTGTAGCCAGGCAAACGTTAGCGTGTTATTTTTCCTGCCCTGGCATCATTGACAAAGAGGTGATAGAATCCTTGTAGTTCAAAAATGTCACGTAATCCCCTGCCAGCAAAACGGGGTCGATCCCAGGTGGTGAAAATCTCCCCAAAAGAACACAGCATTCAACTCTGAATTTTTAAAACCTTATTTAATAAAAGGTTTAAAGATACAGAAGAACATTCAAAAGTAAATAAGTTACATAGGTACATTACAATCACATCCGCAAGATTTACTTTAGTGTGTTATTTTTTCTTTTTTATAAAAAGCACACAAAAAATAAAATCTTCAGTCTTGTCTATCACAACTGTACAGCAAAAGAGGTAATATTTATATATATATACACTATTTTAATATGTAACAGTCTTTTTTAAAAAGGGTGCCACAGGCAGCAAACACACAAAAGGCAGTGTCTGATCATGTTTTTTTCCAAAATAAAAGGAATATACTTATTTATATGCTATTAAAATATTTGTACAATAATTACAGTCAAGGCTGTTCCTGTGCTGTCCCCTCCAAACAAGGCCTTCAACTTAGAGACAAATGAGGGAAAGGTGAAACAGCTGCAAATTGTTAGAGGCAAATATTAACACAGCAAAATATGGGGAGGACATACAATTGTTTTATAAAAATACGCATACTTCCCGTAAACCTAAGGAGTTAGGCTTGCCAGTCTGGTGATAAATACCGTTCGAAAAAAGAGAGCCCCAGTGAAAATATATTTAAACAGCTGAGGCTTGGGTATGTGTCGTATTCCTCCTTCATCTTAACATCTGGCACATGAGAAGAAAGAGGTTAGGTCACTGAGGCAGTTAAATATAGGGGATCTCTTTAGACATAAGCAGCACACGACCTCTGTGCCGGGATGGGGGGGTGGCAGAAGGGATGAGGGTGTACCTTAGCTGTGAGGGGGGGCTGCTGAAGGCATGGAGAACAGTGCGCTGACGCACAGTCTCCTTGGGTGGGTAAGAGACCTCAGAAATGGTCTGGAACACAGGCACTGGTTAGTTTCATGCCCTTAGCTAAGTGTAGATGGAGACTGGAAGATGGATATGGGAGATGGTGTGGGGAGGGCATTATAAAGCTGGAGGTGTTTGTCATTTAACTTCTTAAACAGCTCTGAATAGAAAAGAGAAAGAAAAAACAGAAGACGAGCCTATTGTGTTCACAGGGAGAAAGCACCATAAAGGACATACCTATCCCAGCTCTTATGGCTGCACCTACTTTATTGGCAGGTCACTCAGAAAAATGGCAACTGCCCTCTACACATTTTAACTTTCACCTTATATTCTAGATATGAATCCATCATGGAGCATGAGCCCTTCGAAAATACAGTGTCTGGTGGAATTAATACAGAGGTACCAGCTTGATTTTCTCCCCCAACATTCACCTAGTCTGATTTCTATGAGCTTAGAAGAGGAGAATCACTCTAAATGAAGGGGGTTCCTTTTACCACACGTCCACAGAGGGGCCTGAAACTAAATACTATTTAAATAGAAAAAACCTCGGGAAACATAAGTAGCACTTTGGGGCGAAGCTGCGAAGGCACTCTTATTACACAAGTGATTTAGAAGACAGCCTAAATTTGCCACCCTCCTGTTTCTGGAGGGTATACCAGATTTTTGCAGTCTTGGGACCTTGAAGAAGCCTTTGGGGGAAACTGGGAAGTTGAAGATCTAGGTAGCTTCCTGGAGTCTGGCGGGGAGAAGAATTTTGTTACTCCCATCGCTGGGGTCCTGAAGAACCACATTAATGCATAAATGAATGCTGAAGAACACCTGCTAGTGCATAGTTTAGAAACAAAACTCCCTCCTCACTCCCAGCTACCAAATATGGCGCCTTTAGGCTATCTCGTAAGGAGAGTGGCAGAATTTTCAGCTCCTTCCTAACCTGCTGACCTGTCATATACTTGCATTCACTTGGAACTTTTAACACAACTGAAGTTGAATAACAAGATCAGAAAAGTAACTCAGCACTCCTATAGGATTGGCAAGTGATGGGGCCTCTAGAACCTTCCAGCCCTTCACTTCAGTGACTCCATGCCAAATATGGCTTCGTCCAGCCAGAAACAAGACTAGAATTCTGGCTTCCAGCCAATCCCCTCAGGCAAGTTGAAAATACAGCCAGAGAAGAGGTAGCAATAAGAACTGCCTTTGATCTCCCTTGCTTCTGCTAGTCTTCCTGCGGCTTTGGTGACACCTCACACCTTTGTACCCTCTTCCAGGGCTACTATCACTCCTATTGGCAAAAGCTTCCAGAGTAATGAGGTGAGGGACCTTAGGGTCTTAGGAATGGGGGTGGGGTGGATGCCAAGAAGGTGCCTTGTTTTGGGATAAATGCACTTGGGCCTCTGGAAAGCAGGAGGCCCCTGGTCCCTGAGAGGATGTTAAAAATTAAATATTAAGAATAAATAAATAGCTCTCAAATGACACAAGTCAAGGAATGAAGGCTCCTGTCCAATCTGGTTAGGAAACCTCCCCCTCCCAGGGAAGGATCCAGAAATCTCCAGCAAGCGGGACTGGGGGCTGGGCTGTGGGTATCAGCACTAGACCAGGTGGGATGGGGTTAGAAGGCAGCTGCCAAGGGCAGGACAGAGGCAGGGAGGAACTTGCACCGAGGAGGAGCAGGCTGGACCCCAGATAAGCTCCCTTAGCAGCCTCCAGGGCCCAAAGGCGTTTGGCAAAAAGGTGGGAAGCAGGAAGAGCCAAGGTTTCTCACAAAGTTCCCTCCAGCCCCACCCGGCAGCTTCCACCGTCTGCGGCCTTCCCTCCCGTAGGCTGAGAGCTCGGGAGGCACGCCGGTCCCTCGGCCACACATTTGAGAACACTTCAGCCCCAGCAGGCTGCTCACCAGCAGCAAAGGGACAGGTACCTGTCCTCTGACGTACGGGCATTCCGGGAGCCTTCCTCCCAGAGGAGGTGGCCTGGGACAGGGTCATGGGAGCGGCGCAGGCCTGGGCATTGTCGTGTAGGGGACAGCACAGGTACCAGGCTGAGCTCCCTCTCGGAGAGACCACCACACTCCCTCCCGGGGAGTCCCTTTTGCCCGGGGCTTGGGGCAGGGCCTGTGCAGCCTCTGAGGTCCTCTGGGGAGGGGAAATAATGTTGCCAGGAGGGTGAGCTAGTGCTTGGCTCTCCGTGGGTCCGGGGGGGGGGAGGGGCGGAGCGGGGGTCACGGACGGAAGAAGTTGCGCGGCGGCCGAGGTCCCGGCGTGGGCGGCGGCGGCGGCGCTGGAGGCCCTCCCGAGGGGGCAGCCCCAGCCGGCAGGGACCTCGGCGGTTCCAGGAAAGCGTAAGGGCGACTTCCGACACCGAATGCAAGAGAACTGGATCCTGCAGCCCTGAAGGCTGCTCCCGGGCCTTTGATAAATAAAAGAGCCGTTTATTTTATTGTCTCGTTTTGCAGAGAAAGTCCACGTGATCGCTCCTCTCTCCCTCCGGAGGTCCCGGGGTGCTTGCCGGAGCTCGGGCAGGCCGGTGCGGGGAGGGCCCGGGGTCCGGGGAGAGGGGCGGCCCCGGGGCCCCGCGGCCGAGCTCCCCCCACCCCGGGCCGTCAGCCCCTCTCCCCCGCGCCGCTCTCCTCGCGCAGGGCCGGCTGGTGCGGAGAGGCGGCGGCTGCGGTGGCCGCGGCGGCCGCCGCCTCCTTCTCCTTCTGCCTCAGAGCGGCTGCCTTCTTCTCCTGCTCCGCGTGGCTCTTCATGTGGGCGCTGCGGCTCTTCACCTTGTAAAACACCCTGTAGCCGGGGCAGGAGGGGCTCAAGTCAGAGGGCCGTCCCCTCGCCCCTGGGACCACCAGGCTAGGGCGTGCGTGCGCGTGTGGTGTGCGCCCCCGCCTGGGTCCGTCCTGAGCCCGCCTGCCGGGCGCCGGCCACTCGGCCCACCCCCACCCTCCTCCTAGGGAACAAACGGAGGGGTTCCTGATTCGGCGCCATCATCCGTCTTCTTGGAGCCAGGTGACATCACTGCCCTAGAAACCCTCATTGCCAATCAGAAGACGAGGGCAGAGTTCTGACTGCCTCTTCCCTCTCCCCTGCCCCCCAGCCGTGGCCACCCTGCTAGGTCCCAGTGGAGGAAGGGCCACCATCTTACCTGCCACATTTTTTACAAGGGAAAGTGTTCTCCTGATTTTGGGTCTTGTTAAACGTCTCTGTTTTTTTCTTCTTCTCCGAAAAAGGTAGTGCCCTCCGTGACTTCCCTGCCCCCTCCCTTGGCTTCTCTGAGGCATGGCCACCAGCAGACCCAGGGGCATTTGATTCATGGCTTCGGAGGATGAGGATGTCATTGGCCTGGAGAGGATCAGACAAGGAGAGGTGAGAGATCTGGGAAAGAGAGGTTCCTGAATCACTCCTGCCAAATGGGCCCCTAGAATCCACTGGAATCCTTTCAGTGACAAGGGACTCACTGCTTTCTGGCAGCCCATTCGGGTCTTTGGCCAACTCTATCTTGGCCAAGCTGTTGG